ATCACTGCTTGTCTGGGCAGGGTCCCGCTCTCCACTCTTCTCCTTTGATGGTCCCAGGGACCTCTGCTCCTGGACTGCAAAGTCAATCACTCCCCTCCTTTTGATACAAAGCATCTACCTTTACATTTCCAAGCCTCACAGTCAGTCCTGATAACAATTATTCACTATTGTATCACAAGAGACCTATCTGCATCTCCTTTCATCAGCCCCGCCTAGACAGACTGGCTACTACTCAGTGAAGATTCTACCTTCCTCCGCGCCCTGGCTACTACTCAGTGAAGATTCTACCTTCCTCCGCGCCCTCTGGATCTTGGCTTCCTCTTGAAAGCTTGTAAGCCAGTCACTTTTTGCCTTTACTGTACGCCCCCCCGTGAATATTTTTATGAGTTCTATGTGGCCATTGTAATGGATCATCGATCCCAGATTTGAAGCAAATAGTGCTATGGGAAGAATTGTTTGTGTCCAAATAGAGTAAAGAAAGTTGTAGGGTGGAAGCATGTCTGACCTCGGCTTCAGCTTCACAGGAATCAGCCTTGGGCTGATTTTGCATCTGATTATCTTTCCCCCTGTATTGGGTTTCCAGGGAACAGCTGGTGAGTTTGAATCTGTGACCTTGTGGTTCAAACCACTTTGTGGTCCAGTGCTTATCATACAGCACCACACCAGGACTCCCTCTGTAGGGTTTATTGTTTGTTGTTAAGTGTTTTGGATTCGGTTCTGACTCATAGTGACCCTACGCAGGCTTTCCATGGAGCAGCGGGTAACTTTGCCGTTCAAACCAACATTGCAATTGAGTACTTCTATTGCACCACAACAGGACTCCATATAAGGTTTGTTGTTGTTGTTTAGTGTTGCCGAGTTGGTTCCAACTCATAGCAACCCCGTTTAGAATTTCTGAGGAGCATCTGGTGAGTTTGAGCCACCGACCTTGTGGTTCAAACTGACCTTGCAGTCGAGTGTTTATCCTACAGCGTCATAAGGCTGTAAATCTTTGCAGAAATAAAAAGCTTCATCTGTCTCCCACAGAGTGGCTGGTGGGCTCAAACCACCAACCTTGTGGTTCACAGTCCAATGTTTTTCCTGCAGAGCCACTGCACTCCTGCTTTACCAACTTACAGATTTTAGAATCTTTGGGATTTCTGTGGCTCCTGTCATAATAGCCAGGGTGGCCAGAGCCATCATTACAATAGCAAAGTGAGCTTCTTGAGGCACTGTAACTTATTTTTCCTTTATTTCTCACACTCAGTCCTTTGGGATGGGGGCTATGGATGGGCTTCAGGATGGATAACTTTGCCCTCTTGAGGTCACCTGAAAATTGTGTATGTTGGTGATATGAGTGATTTTCTGAGGGGAAATCCACAGCTTTCATCTAGAGAAAGATTGTATTATCTTATTTCTAGAAAATTGGCAGTAAAGTGAAAGTGAGATAAGAAAGATATCTTGAAGCACAAGAGATAGATGGAAAGAAAGATTACATCTTTCTCTTCCCAGAAATGAGAAAGATACCTTGAAGGGAAGGTGGGACTTATGGAAAGTTTAACACAGGGGAGCCTGAGGAAACTTTGACCTCAGAGGAAAGAGGCAAAAAGGGGGGAAAAAAAACCAGAAGACATAAGAGGAAAATAATCAATAAAGTATTGTTTTAGTGGAGGTTGGTGGAGATAAAAATCAAGAATGAGAAAATGATAAAGATGGAGAATTATGAGTTGGAATTAAAAAACAAAAATTCAAAGATAAGTTGTTGGCTGAAACTAAACCATCAAGAATGAGATCAGGGAGAAGATAAAAATAGATGAGGTTTGGAAAAGCTGTCTTAGGGAGTGTAATCAGTACTGAGGCCCAGCTGGGAAAGGAGGGCTTGGGTTTGCCTGGAACCAATGAATATATTCATGAGGCTTTCCCCTGCTGCTTTTAGAAGTCTCAAATTAGAGAAAATAATTCTAGTCTTGCCTTATTCATGCCTCCCACTACAAGCACAGCTTCCACACCTGGTTGTATACACTGTGCAGTGCATAGCTGTAGGGGATGTACTCACATTGTAGATGTAGTGCGTTTGTATTTTATCACGATTTTCTGGCAGATGGCAGTAAAGCATTTTGTTCTCACAAAATCAGTATGCTCTAATTTTCCAACACATGGCTTGAAGTAAAGAAGTCTTTCTTGAATTTGTAGAAAGGTGCTGTATACCTTTTTTTTCATATGTAAAAATCTTTTATTCTTGAGGAGTAGAAGGACCTTGTATTGTTAATGTGAACAGTGCAGAAACTTCATGCCTGTCTAGTCTGTGTCTGTTGGGATCATGGATAGTCACTACATACTTTCTACAAGAGGGTGAGGAAGAAGTGAGGAGGAGTCCAAGCATGAACTGTTATACTGATGATTGTTGTTGTTGTCAGATGCCATCGAGTCGGAACCGACTCACAGCGACCCCATGCACAGCAGAACGAAACAATGTCCGATCCTGGGCCAACCTCACTACCGCTGCCACACTTGACGCCATCAATTATGCCACCTGGCCAATCCATCTCGTTAGGGGTCTTCCTCTTTTTCTCTGATTCTCCACCTTACCCAGCATGACATCCTTCTCCAGCGACTGTTTCCTCCAGACAATATGTCCAAAGTATGAGAGACGAAGCTTTGTCATCCTGGCTTCCAAGGAGCACTCTGGCTGCACTTCTTCCAAAACAGATCTGGTAGAAAATGGAAATCAGAAAGCGGACACAGAAAATCACGAGAGATTGATGGGGTGTCTTCATGATGAGCCCAGGGATCCAGAAATGGAGTGCTCACTCTGCTTTAGGAAGAGACTTATGGTTGCCAAAGCTGGGGACGTTCTCTTGGCTCACATCAAGAGGAGTATCTGGCTGGATATTCCTCTTGCCCATAAGCCCCACAAAGAAGTTGTGCATGGCACGTTTCTGGGGATATGATGACTCCTTGGAACCCATGCTGGCCTGGCTCAGCCCATCCAGAGAGACTGAGTGGTTGTCTAGGAGTCTTTGGAGCAGTGAAGGGGGCAGCTTGGAGAGATCCAAGTCCTTCTTGCTGTGGCCCCCATGGGGGTGTAGGGGTGGGGAACCATTTTTTTCTGCCAAAATTTATAGTGTCATTTGTGGACCATACACAGTTATCAACTTAAAAATTATCCTGCTAAATTTGGTCAAAGATTTAGTTAGCTCACCCCTAATGATCGATGGCACTTAACAACAACAATGAAGATTATGGCTGGAGTGCTGGTGTGGTGCTGTGGAATAAGGTACTGGACAGAAAGGTTGGTTTGAACCACAAGTTCAATGGTTCAACCTCATCAGCTGCTCCTTAGAAACTCTATACCAGGTCGCTATGCAACAACTACGGTATGATGGCTACAACTGTGGTTGCTTTGGCAGGGCCAGACCAAATGATTTCTAGGGCCTTATACTGCCTGTGCGCCAGACGGTCCCCACCCCTGGAGTACAACCCTGGATGTAGGGACTAGTGGGAGAAATGTAGTGGATGGAAGAATGCGTAGAAGCTCCATGACCTTATGCTGCTGCCTGAAGGTCAGCTCTCTGTTTGCTGAGTAGACTGTGCTGGAATTTCTGCCTTAGCTCCCATAGGATTGTCATAATGCAGAACTGAGCTGTTCTTTCCTAAGTACCATGGATCACTGAAAACCTCGCTCCTCAAATTATTTTCTGATGAATTCCAGGCTGATTTCTTTATAATTCTGTTCTTGTTGGGGATATATACAGCACACTAAGGAGCTCTGGTAGCGTAGTGGTTACAAATCGGGCTGTGAACTGCAAGGTCAGCAGTTCAAAACTACCAGCTATTCCGCGAAAGAAAGATGAGGCTTTCTGCTCCCATAAAAATTTACAGCCTCAGTAACCCTGTACAGGGTCGCTATGAGTCGGAACCAACTCCACGGCACATAACAACAACAACAAAGTCTGTTTTAGAGTCCTGGTGTGGCCCTGTAGGATAAACACTGGGCGACAAGGTCAGTTTGAAGCACAAGATTGGCTGATCAAACTAACCAGCTGCTCCTCTGAAACCCTATACAGAGTCATTATGAATCAGAGTCCTGGTGTGGCACTGTAGGATAAACACTGGGCCACAAGGTCAGTTGGAACCACAAGATTGGCTGATCAAACTAACCAGCTGCTCCTCTGAAACCCTATACAGAGTCATTATGAATCAGAGTCTTGGTGTGGCACTGTAAAATCAGTGCTGGAATGCAAACCTCAAGGAAATTCAACCAACCAACTGCTTCTTGGAAATCCTATACAGCGTCACAATGAGTCAGACTATCTGACTAAATACCATCTCTCCTTCTTCCTAGTTTGTATTCGTCTGGAAGCTCATCTGAAACTTGTCCACCATGGTTGACCTGCTAGTATTTAAAATACTGGTGGTATAGCTTCCAGAATCACAGCAACACACAAGCCAACACAGTACAAATGAGTGGATTCCCATACTTTGGGAATATTGTCAAGAGGGACCAGTCCCTGAAGAAGGATATTACGCTCGATAAAATGGAGGGTCGGAGAAAAAGAGGAAGACTCCCAATGAGATGGACTGGGCAGTGTTTTGTTCTGTTGTGTATAGGGTCACTATGAGTTGGTATCGACTTGATGGCACCTAACAACAACATGAGTCCGAATCGACTTGATAGCACTTAACAACAACAACAGCAAAGTCTATTTGCCATCTTACTAATGCTTTGATGTGGTTTAGGCGTTGGGCTCCTAAACTCAAGGTTGGCAGTTCAAACCCACCAGTTGCTCCTTGGGAGAATGATGAGACTTCATATTTCCAGTCTTGGAAACCCTATATAGGGCTGTTATGAGTTGGAATTGACACGGTGACAGTGGGTTACTTAATGATCACAAGCACTGCCTTGTTTTATGTGGAGTCCTAATGTAGGATAAGCACATTGATTATATTCTTCTAGTTGTATATCTGACTGATTCTATTCTCTGCTCAAGTCTGGTGTTGTGCTGTAGGATCGGCACTGTACTGTCAACCACAAGGTATGCAGTTCAACCCCACCAGCCCACCAGCTGCTCTTTGGAAACCCTATACAGGGTCGCTGTGAGTCAGAACTGACTTGATGGCACTTCACATAAAAAAAAATTTATTTGCCAGGACCTTATGACTGCTCTTACTACTGTGGATTAAGCGTTGGACTGCCAACCACAAGGCTGGCATTTCAAATCCACTAGCCACTCCTTGGAAACCCTATGAGTTGGAACCGACTCAATAATATGTAACAACTACAACACGAGTCTTCAAAATGATTTGAAATCCACTTTAACATCAGAGTTAGATGGGCCACTGGGCTGCTAGTGGTACATGTCTATTGACCATGGGCTAAAGAGTCCATACACCACAGGTGGATCTGTGTCCCTCACTGTCCAAATATCCAGCAGAGTTTGAGATATTCTTGAAATTCACGGATCTTTAGGCCTCAAGGACTTCATTCCATAAAGCTCTATAAGATATGCTTCTTGCTTCTCTCCACTCTTTTCCCACACTCACCAGTTCCAATTATATTTTCCTCCTTCCTGTTCCTCAGACACACCAGGCACATCCCACCTTGGAGACTTCACCATTCCCAGTGCTGAAATGCTTTGCTCTCCACCTCTCAACATCCCCCAGTCTTCTGTATTGGCTAAAATGTCAGTTTCTCAGTGATGCCTTCCTTTGCCATCTATTTGAAGTTGCAAAACACCCACTCCAGAATTTCTTTATCACTTCTCCCTGCTTTATTTCCCAGTGTAACATTTACCAACTTCTAATATGTTGTTCTTTATTGTTCTTCCATCAGTAAAATATAGACTATAGGGAGGCAGAGATTTTTATCTGTTTCCTGTTCCCCCTTCTGTCCTAGAGAGCCCCAACATTGAGAACAGCCCATGTGTCATAACAGGTGCTCAATCATTCTATGTTGCATATACTGCTTGCAGTAGATTTATGTAGTGCAGGAGAAAGATGAGGCTGTCTTCTCCAGTAAAGATTTACAGTCTCAGAAACCCTAGGGAGCAGTTCTACTCTGACCCATAGATCTGCTGATGTGGTCTGACATTTTTATATGACTTCCAGCTGCTGTCTGTGCAGTCTGACACATATACAGTGTGGGTACCAACTGCAGATATTTCAGATATTTTGATGATTCAAGGACATTAGAATAGCTATTTGAAATTAGAATGGTCCTGTAAACTCTAAGGCTTAGCATTGCTAAATTGTGTCTTGATAGATAATAAGCTAAATTCCAATAGAAATTCTTTAAATTTCTCACAGGGACACTGAAGGGCCAACCCCACTGCTAGAGTTGATTCTGCCTCATAGTGACCCTGCAGGGCAGGGTAGAACGGCTCCTTAGGGTTTCCAAGATTAAATGTTTATGTTAGTGGACAGTCTCATCATTC